ACACACACACACACACACACACACACACACACACTCACACACTCACACATACAAAAAAAATAATATTTTATATATATATATATATATATATACATATGCACATATGTATATATACATATATCAACATACATACATACATGTATATATTTAATAGTATATATATAAATATATATATATATATATATATATATATATATATATATATATATATATATATATATATATATATATATATATAAATATAATTATATAATGTATAAACATATATATCTAAGAGTATATATAAACATATATAATTATAAATATATAAGTATATATATAAATATATAAGTATATATACATAAATATATAAGTATATATATAAATATATAAATATATATACCCAAATATATAAGTATATATATAAATATATAAATATATATATATAAATACTTAAGTATATATATATATATATATACAAACACAGACACACACACACGCACACACACTCACACACACACAGATTCTTGATTTATTTGACAATTTCAAAAGCTTACCCCAATGTTATTTTTGGGCCACCAAATCATGTAAATGCAATTTGGACATTATAATTACCAAATTATGTCATGAGTAATGTCTTACTTTTGACGGCAAATTATATAAACAGATTTATGGTATCATGATGGGAAGTAGCTTAACCCATTCGCCCCAAGTGGCAAGAGAATAGATGCCATGCCCACTGTAATACACATTTATTTATTGTATTTACACATAGATGGCTCTACAAGTTCTTAATCACCAAAAAGCCAGTTATTAGAACTACCTATCTAACCTGTTTATCCATTTCCTTCACTTTAGGAAAGGGTCTTTTGTATCATTTCATTGTCTAAAATATCTTAAAGACACTTTAATAATCATAACATAAATAACAATAATAACAGTATCGATAGCAATGGTATTAATGAGAAAAAACACATTTTCCCACTGATTCAAGGAATGGGAAAATCAGGATCGGTAACTAGGGTCTAATGATGGACTCCTTGCTGGCTGAGCACATGTGGATGCATCTGTATGTAACAAAATTCACCTAAAACTACAGGGGACAGAATCCAGGGCGAATGAGTTAAGCCCGGTTCTTGCTAATCTATACATGGAGATGTTTGAATCTGAACTCCTTCTCCTGACATGATTTGGTTTCATTATGTTGATGATATTTTTTCTTTGTGGCAAGTAAGCCATTCAGATTTTGATAATTTTTTCAGAAAACTCAACAACCTTGCACATACTATCTATTTTAACCCAATGGTGTCGGGGAAAATGAACAAAAAATGGAGAAAATGCTGTGCCCACTTTCTATGTTTTTTTGTGAAATGTCTGCCGATAGATGGCTCTGCTAGCGCCTGATTTGAAATGGCGGGGAAAATGTATTTTTCACTAGTGCTATGAAAATCGATGGTGTTATTTTTATCATAAACATTATAATTTTTTAAAAATGTTTTTTAACATTAGTAACAGCAAAATAAGATAATGTAAAATATTTTGTAAATTAAAGAAACGGGTAAACGGGCGAGACGGGCGGTACTCGTAGTTGGCTCATTGGTGATTTAGTACAAGTGTTGCCATCTATGCGTAAAAACAATCAAACAAGTACTCACGGTGGGCATAGCACGTATGTACACGTCATACCCGGCACCAATGGGTTAAAGTAGAATGGAAAGATTCTGGCAAATTACCTTTTCTCGACGTCCTTTTACTCAATGTAAATGGCTCTCTCAAATTTTCAATTTACTGTAAACCTACTCCTAGTGCTAATTACCTTCACTTTTTCTTGAATCACCTCTTACATGTTAAAAAGTCTTTAGTCTCGTCAATGTTTCTTAGGGTATATAGGATTTGTGATAATTTATCAACTGGGAGCTTTACGTCATTCCTGAAATGTTATAGAAATTAGAATACCCTCTTTTTTTCTTAAATCAGGCCTTTTCATTCTGCGAGATGGAAATTTTATACTCATTCCCGTACTAGTCAACAGGCTAATACCAGTAATCTATTAATTATTCCCTACAACCCATCCCTTCATGAAAATGACATATGTTTAAAGGCACTTCAATTGACATTGTTTTTATGTATCAGAACACGCTGCATAATACTTTGGTTAAGCACAATGCGGCTAGCGGTGCTCTCGAGACTTTTCCCAGTATTTACACTATACCCTATATGGATTGTGCCAAGTTTTACATAGGTGAGCCCGGTGGAGCTTTTGAAAAAAGAATTAAAGAACATAAATGTGATGTTAAATATGCCAGAGAATCAAATGCGTGTTTTATTCATTTGCGTGATGAAGGTTACCAGCTTAACTGGAGAAATGCTAAATTAATTCATAAATCAGCAAATTCTTATGAAAGAAAAATGCTAGACTCTCTATTAATTAGAAAAATGCCTAATTTTGACTTGAGTGCTGGTCAATGGGGCTTGGATGGCCTTAACTCTTTGTTAGTTAATAAAGCCTTCCCCAGACTCT